GAGGTCTTCAAGCTCATGGATCTAAAGGTTATTTAATCCTCACAGCAACCCTCCCAGGAGAAATTATTGTCTCTTCTGTGTGAATGAGGACACTGAGACTCAGAGAGGCTGAAGTTAAAGTGAGTAACTCTAAGATCCCCAGGCGCCTCCAAAGCTGTTCTTGCTGCCCAGTCACGATTCCCCTGGTGGTGTTGAATGAAGGGTGAGAGCAAGAGGGCTGAACCACCGGTTCTGCTGAGTTGACTCTGACTCATGGAGACCCCGTGTGTGTTAGAGCAGAACTGTGCTCCATAGGGTTTGCAATGGCTGGGTTTTCAGAAGTAGACCACTAGGCCTTTCTGCCCAGGTGCCTCTGGATGGACTCGAACTTGCAACTTTTTCAATAGTAGATGAGCTCATTAAGCATTTGTACCACCCAGGGACCCTGAGAGTGCTGAAGCCACCATTTAATTCCAAGTAATATTTAGTTAGGATTGTCAAGGATTGAATTGTGTCCCCCAAAAATATGTGTCAACTTGGTTAGACCATGATTCCCAGTATTGTGTAGTTGTCCTCCATTTTGTGATTGTAATTTTATGTTAAAGAGGATTAGGGTCACATCCCTTACACAGGTCACATCCCTGATCCAATATAAAGGGAGTTTCCCTGGGGTGTGGCCTGCACTATCTTTTATCTCTCAAGAGATAAAAAGGAAAGGGAAGCGAGCAGAGAAGTGGGACCTCATACCACCAAGATAGCAGTGGTGGGAGCAGAGCGCATCCTTTGGACCTGAGGTTCCTATGCTGAGATGCTCCCAGACCAAGGGAAGACTGCTAACAAGGATGTTCCTCCAGAGCTGACAGAGAGAGAAAGCCTTCCCCTGACGCCGGCGCTCTGAATTCAGACTTCTAGCCTACTGAATTGTGAGAGAATAAACTTCTCTCTGTTAAAGCCATCCACTTGTGGTATTTCTGTTATAGCAGCACTAGATGACTAAGATAAGCATTTACTACAGGACAGGTGCTGGGCCAAGCAATGTGTGTGCCATGTCTCACTTGATCTCAACATCACCCTGTCTGAGCTGGGTATTGTGATACCTCTTAACGGATGAAAAAGTGAGACCCAGAGAGGTTATTTGTCCCAGATCACATAGCTACTAAGTAGCCAAACTAGGATTTGAACCCAAATTTCTCTGACCTCAAAGCCAAGGATGTTTCCTTCCCATTTTGTTATCCTCTTTTCTATGCTGAAGAAAGTAGGGGAGGGTGTTTCACAGAGTCAGGGGTGGGGGTTACACTGGTTGGGGAGAGAAGGGAGCTGGGAAGAGAAGAGAGTGAGGAATAAAGGCCAGAGAAAACATATAAATGGTGAATTATGATCATATAAAGATGTCACTTTGATGACTAAGGTGTACCTGACCCAAGCCATGGTCTTTTCAATTGCCTCATATGCATGCGAAAGCTGGACAATGAATAAGGAAGACAGAAGAACTGAAATTCAAATTGTGGTGCTGGTGAAGAATATTGAATATACCATGGACTGCTAAAAGAATGAACAAGTCAGAAGAAATACAACCAGAACGCTCCTTAGAACCAAGGTTGGTGGGGCTTCAGCTCACTTACTTTGGACATGTCATCAAGAAAGACGAATTGCTAGAAAAAAACATCAAGCTTGGTAAAGTAGAGGGTGAGCAAAAACAAAGGAAACCCTCAGTGAGATGGACTGACACAGTAGCTTCAACAACGGGCTCAAACATACCAAGGATCATGAAGATGGCATAGCACTGAACAATGTTTCGTTCTGTTATACGAACGAAAGGTATATCATAAGGTTGCCATGAGTCAGAGCTGACTCAGCGGCAACTAATGACAACAACCTTGATTGAAGCAGGAGTGGTAACATGGCAAGTGTTTTTCAATACCTTTTTATTAAAGTGTAATATACACACATGTAGGAAAGCTTAATATACCTTACAGAAAAGTACCGATCATGACTTTTCATAAACGCAACTCCTCCTTCAGCACCTAGATCAAAGAGCAGAACCTTTCTAGTACCCCAGACACCTCTTTCTCATGCCCCCCATCCTGATCACTGTCCTGACGTCTAATCTCACCCATCGATTGTGCATAGTTTTGTCCTTTGGCTAAATGAAATTACACGTCATGTATTCTTTTGTGTCCGGCTTTTATCACCCAACCTCATGTTTCTGTATGGCAAGTGTGTTTTTCAACATTTTATTATGAAAATTTTCAAACATGCAGAAAAGTTGAAAGAATTTTACAGTGAACACCCACAAACCTACCACTTAGATTCTACTACAAACATTTTATTGCACCTGCTTTTCTTTCATACAAGCAACCCCTCTAACCATTAATTACTCCATCTATTTTATTGTGCTTTTCAAAGCAAGTTGCAGACACTGGTGTACTTCCCTTTAAATACTTCAGCACGCATGTCATTAACTAGAGTTCAATATTTGTTCACAAGTTTTTCCTTTGGATATAAATTTATATACAATGAAATGTACAGATCTTAAGTGTACATCTGTTTAGTTTTGACAAGTGCTTATACCTGTGTAACCCCACACTCTGTAAAAATATAGAACATCCCCATCACCCCAGAAATTCTTTCATTTCCATTCCCAGTCAATACTCATACTCACCATCACCAACCCCACCCCCAGGAGGCAACCACTGTTCTGATATTTTTCTATGATAGATTAGTTTTTTGTGTTCTAGAAGCATATAAATGGAACCATACTGTATATACTCTTTATGTAAGGTTTCTTTCACTCAATATAATGTTTTTGAGATTCCATATTACTATATATATGTCAGTAATTTGCTCCTTTTTATTGTTGAGTAGTATTCTAGTATATAAATATAGCACATTTTGTTTATCCATTCTTTCTCCTATTGAAAAATGCCTGGGCTGTTGCCAGTTTTGGAGTATTATGAATAAAGGTGCTATGAATATTCCCATACAAGTCTTTTTGTGAACATAAGCACAGCCAGAATGCTCATTAGAAGGGTGGATGGTAAGACCTCATCTTACATACTTTGGGCATCAGGAGGGATCAGTCCCCGGAGAAGGACATCATGCTTGGTTAAGTAAAGGGTCAGCAAAAAAGAGGAAGACCCTCAACAAGATGGATTGACACAGTGGCTGCAACAATAAACTCAAGCATAACAATGATTGTGAGGATGATGCAGGACCAAGCAGTGTTTTGTTCTGTTGTACATACGATCGCTATGAGTTGGAATCAACTTGATGGCACCTAACAACAACAACAACAGTGCTTTCATTTCTCTTGAGTAAATACGTAGGAGAGGAATATCTGGGTCACAGAGTAGGTGTATGTTTAATTTTATAAAAATCTGACAGATCCTTTTCCAAAGTAGTTGCACAATTTTTTATTACCATCAACAGTGAGTGAGAGTTCCAGTTGCTCCACAAGCTTCTCAACATTTGGTGTTGTCATTGTTTTCTGGTGGGTGCATAGTAGTATCTCATTGTGATTTTGCACTTCTGTGAAAAAGCACCTTTTCCTTCAGGTGAACACAGCTCCTTGCCAAGATGCACAGCTCAGGGAGCAGAGTATATGCTCTCTTGTGCAGAGTACAACCTGCCCAGCTGTTCATGGCAGCCCTGCTTCTGACCTCCCTGCCTAAATGCAGTGAACAAGCCAACAGCTTTTAAAGTACCATCTTTATTTTAAAAGAAAAATAGCACTTACAATGGTTGAGAGTGGCCTCTACAATCAGACTGCCTGGGTTCAAATCCCAGTCTCACCACATACTAGCTAGGTAATGATGGGTGAAACTGTTTAAGATTTCTAAGTCTTTATTCCCTTAAATCTACCTCATATGTTTGCTGTGAAGATTAAATGAGACAATACATGTGACTTGCTTAGCATAGTGCCTGGCACACAGTAAACACTAGTAAACATTGTTATTGTTATATCTGATGAGAAAAGTTATACATGATTCTTGTAGAAATTTTAGAAAATAAATAAACATAGAAGTTTAAAGTCACCATAGTGCCAGCACTCAAAGATAACTGTTATTAATATTTGGTGCTTTTTTCTAGTATTTTCTACGTAGAGATCTTTAAAAATATAATTGGCATCATACTATACATACAGTTTAATATCCTCTTTTCTATATTTAACTTTACATCATTAGCATCTTCTCATGACATTGCATATTCTTTGAAATTCTACTCTTAAAGGCTGTGCAATATTCTGGCAATAGATGTACCAGACTTGGAATGTGTCATACAGGTGTAAGGTGATAATGTAGCAGGTTTAAGAGCAAGAACTCTAGAAACGGCCTTGTATCCTCTTGACTACATGGGATTGTTTCCTTAGGGTATTTTTAAGGTCTTTGAGAAACATTGCCAAATTGGAGCACCATGTTAAAACCAAACCATATCTTTTCACTCTTCCCCAAATATAAAAATAAATGCATGCTGTGGAAAAAAATCAGACAATACACGAATATAAAAAATAGAAAGTGAAATCCCCTGTAATCCCACTAGTAAAGGACGCTTTGATGTACATGCTTTCAGAACTTTTTTCCAGACATATGCAACCATAGATATAGATATACTAGCAGTGGGCTCTGCAGCTTGACCAAGACAGGCTCCAGTCCTGGCTCTGCTATTTACTAGCTGTGTGACCTTAGGCAGGTTAATTAACCTCACTGTGCCTTGCTTTAAAGAGTTTTAGGCAGTTGTTTCAGGAGTGAATTTTCAAATGTCTTCAGGGCCTCCAACATTCTCAACCTGAGTAGATAGAGGATTATCCTCTAGAGCCTATTCCTGAAGCTGGGGAGTGGGGTGCCTAGCCCTTTGGACCAGACGTCCCAGCTGTGCTGCTCTCTGGAGCACCCTGGACCATGGGAAGGGTGGAACCCCTATGATTTGCCAGCATGTAGATGTTGATTCACCTGGGCAAATGGGAGAATTGCACAAATTGCCCATGCAGATGAGTGGCTCATGCCGAGTTACCCAGTGCTCACCCAGGTGGTGTTGTTACCTGGGGGCAGATGGCTGCCTGGGCCTCACTCACCACAGGGAAGCCCCAGTCACAGTCATCATGTAGCTGTGGGAGAGCATGGGGGATGCTAGTTGGAACTTCCTCAAAAAAAGGCATCACCTTCTCCAGCCCAAGAAGTCGAGCTGGGATGGTTCCCAGGGCACAGCTCACTGGACTTGTGAATATGTGGACCAAGTGCACCGTGAGGGAGGACTTCCCCAGGAAGTGCCAAATGCTGCTTCTGCATACTCACCCAGGAGTCCAGTCACGTTGGTGTTTCCATCACTTCTTTGAGTTGACCTTATTCGACAACACCAGGAAAATGGACTTTGCAATTAATTAAACAAAAATCTCAAGACAAGCTCTGTTTTGTATCTATAGATGCTCTACTGAGTTGCTTGTTCCAGGAGAAGAGAATTGGGCCACATGTTTATTTATTTACTTACCTGAACGCATTTGGCCTACTTTGCATTATGATTCATTTTTGGGAAAGGAAGATCAGATGGGACAGCATCCAAGGAGGAATCAGGTGGGATATATGAATCCTGGAATTACCTTCCCAGTAACCTCGGAAGCAGGATTCTCTTCTTTCTCCTTTACTCTCTCTCCTTCATGATGATAAGTTTCCTCCTGAGAAACCTCATTAACCTTGAACCTTTTTTAACATTTTCCACAGGTAAAGAGACTGGTCCTTTAGAGGGATGGGTGACTCCACCTTGGGTCCTCAGGAAAACCCCACAGTCTCAGGATGCAAACTCTGTAACCCCAGGCAGGTTACTTAACCTCCTCAAGCCTCAGTTTCTTCATTTGCAAAGTAAAAAGTTTCCTCCTGCAGTGTTGCTGGGTTTCAGTGAAATCATATTGCACATCATCCAGGCCTTTGCACATTCTGTTCCAACTTCCTGAAACACAGTTGTTAACACCAGTCATCCTTCTGGTCATAGCTTAAATGTTCTTCCTCATAGAACACCTCCAGCTTAGTTCAGGTCCCCAATTAAAGGCGCCCACAGTTCCTTGTACTTTTTTTCCTCACCTATCACAGCTATAATTTAAGTAGCCCTTCGTTTAATGTCTGCCTCGTGGCCTTGAATTCGAGCCCCAGAGAGGCAGAGCTGGGTCCATGGTGCTCATCTCTCTATCCTCAGCTCCTGGAGCAGGTCTTACACTTAGTGGGCACTTAGTAAACATTAGTGTCCCTTTCAGAACCCATGCAGTAGCCTCCAGACCTGAAACCTCCAACACCTACATGAGGGCCCTAGACTTACCATCTTCTGGGATAAAGGTTGGGCCAAGGCCAAGGCAGCAGTGCCAGAAGCCTTGGAGTTCAGGCCAAGTGCCTCATGGCTCTGGGCCCCAGGCTGAGGCTCCCCTAGAATTTGGGGTTCAGTCGGTTTCCTGATCTTGTGGTCAGATTAGGGGTGGGCAGGCCCTGACAGGACTGTTCTGGAGCAGAGGCCGTTGGTGCAGGCAAACCCTCTGCCTCACCCACACCACCTCGTACCCAGCGTACACACAAGCTGCCACATGCCTGGTGAAACGTGGCAGGCCACATACCCTGGCCTCCATTTTGAGAGAAGTCGAAGCCTGTGATGGAGAAGTGGCCTCCTCGGGCTCCTGTGGGAAGGGAAACTCACAGACACACTCACACCAATGCACACACATACACACGCCCACACAGACTCCACTTGGAGAAAACTCAAGGCAAGGTCCAGCCCCTGTTGTGGTTTTTCATGGGCCCAGATGTCCCTCTTTCTTGCTTTCTGAGCTGAGGCGAGGGAGAATCCTGATGTGCACAGCCCAGGGCCTCAGGGACCTGGTTGTCTGTGTGGCCTGGGGAGTTACATGGAAATAAGAATAATGTCAACAGCAGCAGCAGCCAAAGCTGCCTTTTAATGAAGACTTACTATGTGCCAGGCACTGTACTAAGGATCTCTGGTGGCACAACGATTAAGCACTTGACTGCTAATTGAAAGGTTGGCGGTTCCAACCCACCCAGCAGCTACTCAGGACAAAGAACAGGCATCTGCTCCTGTACAGATTACCACCTAGAAAACCCTATGGGTCAGATCTACTTTGTCATATGGGGTGCTATGATTTTGAAATTGACTCAACAGCACCTAACAACAACAACAGGCACTGTGCTAAGCGCTCTATACTCAACTAATATTTATTGAGGGCCTACTATGTGCCATGCACTGTGTTAAGTGCTCTATATCAGCAAAACAATGAGTCGCTGTTGAGTCGATTCCAACTCATGTTGACCCCATGTGTGTCAGAATAGAACTGTGCTCCAATGGCTGATTTTTTCAGGAGTAGATCACCAGGTCTTTCTTCCAAGGTGCCTCTGGGTAGACTCGAACCTCCAACCTTTGGGTTAGCAGCTGAGCACACTAACCGTTTGCACCACCCAGGGACTCCAAGCGCTCTACACTCAACTAATATTTATCAAGGGTCTGCTATGTGTCAGGCTCTGTTTAAGGCCCTTGGGATACAGTAATGAACAAAAGAGAGAAGAAGCCCTGCCCTTGTGCAGCTTATAGTTGGGGAAGACAGAAGATAAATGAAATAAATAAGTAACTTATATAGTAGTTTAGAAGGCGACAAGTGCTAAGGAGAAACATAAAGTAGGAAAGGAAGAGAGAAATGTGGGGTAGGGCAGATGCTGTGATTTTAAACATCATGGTGAAGAAAGACCTCCCTGACAAGGTGACCTACATCATCTCATTTAACCTTCTTAACAAGCTCTTGAAGTCATTACTACTATTGTCCCATTTTATGGATGAGGGAACTGAGGCTCAGAGAGGGGAGTGGACTTGCTCAGGATCTCTCAGCCTGTGAGGGCAGAGGTGGGAGTAGAACCCAGGCCTTCCTGATGTCAAAGCCCATGCCTTTAACCTGCCTCGAGATCCTGCCTCCTTTGTTTGCATTAGGTCTGGTCCCGCTTGCCATGGCCCTACAAGTGCAGACCCTCCCGGACCAGGAGCTATGTTCCAAACTGCATCTGCTGGGTTACTTGAGCAGGTGAGGGGAGAGGGCCAGTGAGCTAGCTGCTGTATCTCCCCAGGGCCTGGCATTCCTGCTGGGCATGTGTCTCCAAGTCAGACCTGTTTGGGCTGGACAGCCTAGCCCTTGAAAAAGTTCTTTTGTGCCTCTCAAAGGGCCTCACAAGAGGGTTAAACGCCCTCACATTAGTGCTAATTTGGGACTGACTTTCCTATTCAGCCAGTGACAAAGCCGGGTGTTTGCACAAGGGCCTGAGGAATGGGACCACACGCACTGCCAGGGAGCAGGCTCCATGCCCGCCTCCCTACTGCCCTGCCCTCCCAGGCACCTGTTTCTCTCACACGTAACTCGATCCACTGGGTTTCCGGGTCCAGTGGCTCTAGCTCTGCCCCCAAATCTGAACAAGCCTTCACCCCAGTCTCTCCCAGTAAAAGCCCTCTGGGAAGGGATGGGGGACCCATCTGCTGAAGGGCCCTTTTGGACCTTGATCCAGTTACGATTCCTATTCTCACGAACAAAATGTTTGTAATACTGCAAAATGGAAACAACCTAAATGTCCATCAAGAGGGGAAATGCTTAAATAAATGAGAGAAGATTCACACCACCCAGATATTTTAAAAGAACGAGGCGGGTCTGTGGGTACAGAAACACCAAAAGAAACACCCTTTGGTGAGGTGAAGAAAAACCTGCAAAGTTATATATCTATAGATTCCATATAGGTTAAGAGAAAAAAAAAAAAAACCCGAAATGGATGCATATCCCCTTAGATATGATTATAAACATACATAAGAGTCTGAAAAGAAACCACCAAGCTATGAATGGGGAAAGAACAATGGGCTGGAGGTGAGGTAGGAAATGAAGGGGGACTTTTCAACATTTTATGCTATCTTCTTCTGGATTGTTTTAGATATTTTTAATAATGAGAATGTACATATGTGCATGTAAAGGAGACCCGGCGGCACTGTGGTTAAGTGTTCGCCTGCTAACCAAAAGATCGTCGGTTTGAAATCACCAACTGCTGCCCAGGAGAAAGATGAGGTGGTCGGGTTTTCGTAAAGATTTACAGCCTGGAAACCCTATGGGGCAATTCTACTTTATCCTATAGGGTTGCTATGAGTGGGAATTGACTCAACAGCGATGGGTTTGGTTTGGTTATGTATATGTATACATATACATACAAAAATATACACTGACACATACCCACACATATATATGTCTATAGAGGGAGGAAAGCGGTGGTGGTTCGCTGGTAGAATTCTCCCCTTTCATGTGGGAGATCTGGGTTTGATACCTGGCCAGCGCACCTCAAACACAACCACCACCTACCTGTCAGTGGAGGCTTGTGTGTTGCTTTGATTCTGAACAGGTTTCAGCAAAGCTTCTAGCTGAAGACAGACTAGGAAGAAAGGCCTGGCAATGTACTTCCAAAAATCAGCCAATGAAAACTATATGGATCACAACAGTCCATCTGCAGCCAGTCATGGGGTTGACACAGAACCAGACAGTGTTTTGATCTGTTGCGCATGGGGTTGCTCTGAGTCGGGGGCTGACTCGACAGCAGCTACCCACAATATATAGGAAGAAGTACTTCTAATGAAGAATTCCCGTTTTGTCATATGTATACAACTTCAGACTTCCTCTCTCCCCGGATAACTCTCAATTGTGCTTTTAAAGTTCAATTTGGCCTTCTGTATGCTCCTTGGTGCCTGGGCCAGGACACTGACTTGGTGTGTGATCTTGAGTGTGTCAGTATCTGAACTCAACGTCCTCTCCCTGGCAGTCATTGTAAGAATTAAATGAAACAATGTCTGTAAAATGCCTAGCACAATGCCTGACACATAGTAGGTGCTCAAAAAGTGGCCATTGCTGTTATTATCATCATTGTCCTATGACTTTGTGTTCTGTGCACTGTGAGTGTCAACCAAGATTTAGAGGAGGGCTGCCTGCACCAGAGCCCCAGGCTGGCATCATTTTCACATACCCTTCGGCCATCCATCCCCTATTCTGGCTGTGCCCACAAAACCTGACAACAATCTGAAGGCTGAAAATGGCTGGTGATAAAACGTGTTTCTACCACCAGGCCAAATCATGACTTTTCTCCTCGGAAATGACTGCCCTCTTCTCTCTCTCCTGTCTCTCCTGTCACCTCTGGTGTGGCCCCAGGACTCCCTGGGGCTCTGCTGTCTCCTTGGGATTCCCATGAGACTGCTCAGCACGGATCCCACTGGGTTATGGTTAATAGTCGGGAACCTCAGATAGAGGACCAGGCTGGCAACTCACCCAGGGCAGGGCTGCAACTGACTCACACATGTTCCCCACGCTCAGCACAGGGCCCGGCATGGATGGGTGGCCTGTGAATGGCTGTGAGTTGAAATAAATCCACATGTTAGCATAGGGACCCTGAGTGGCCAGCGAGTTTCCCATCCCCAAACTTCCCCAACACTGAGTACAAACCAATGAACAGAGTGGGCACTCAATACATATTTGTGGAAGGGAGGAGGAAAAGGAAGAGAGGAGGAAGATTGCCTGCCCCAGTGACTGATGAGCAGACAAACCATCAACAAATGAATGCAATGGAACCATCTTAGTACCCTACCTTTTCAGACCCCACCATTGGAAAGGGAAAGTGATTAACTGAGTTGGTTGGATATATAATAGGCACTAACATAATAGGCATATTTTCTATGGACTGGCTCTGTTCTACACGTTTTACATGTATTAACTAATTTAATTGTCACACAAGTCCTAAGAGATAAGTATTAAATGAGATGCAATTGAGTTGACTCCAACTCATGGTGACTTCGACTCATGGCGACTTCATATGTGTCAGAGTAGAACTGTGCTCCATAGGGTTTTCAGTGGCTGATTTTTCAGAAGTAGATTGCTAGCGCTTTCTTCTGAATCACCTCTGGGTGGACTTGAACCACCAACCTTTTGGTTAGCAGCTTAGTTCGTTAACCATTTGTACCACCCAGGGTTCCTAAAGGTTCCCTCAATCCACACCATGTTCCTTCACACCTCTGTGCCTTCGGCCATTCTGTTCCCTCCTCCTGGAATACTCTTCCCCACCTTGGTTGCTCAGAGAATCCCATCTCTCCTAATTTAGTTCACAAGTCCTTTCTCTAAAGAGCCTTCCCTGACCACTAACCCCCTGCCTCGCCCAAAAGTGAATCAATTCTTTTTAATCTTCTCTGCTCTCCACACCTATTTAGGTGGTTACTAAGCTGTCTCTACTGCAACATATTTGTCTGTGTATGTCTCCTGACGGCTCTTTGAGGACAGGGACATGTTGTATTCGTCTCTGTGTCCCCAAGACCAAACACAAAGATTTTCAAACATTTTTAGTGGTGGAACTCTTACTTCATAAGAAAAGCTATATGGATCGCAGCACAAAACAGATACAAGAAAAGCAGTTCTTGACGGAGTGGGGAAGGGGCTGGGGGTCTCCCTGCCTGAGTGGTCATCTCAGACCTACCTGGAACTCTCTCTGGGAGACTCTGCGCCTCCCCAAAACAGTTCGAAAGCCCCTGACTCAGCACAATGCCCAGAACATAGCCATTGCTCAACGCATGCTTTTTAAATGATTTGAAGACCAAACACCTTCAGAACTT